GATCAAATTGCTACATCCCGTGTAAAAGGGGTTACAATAATTCTTGATGATGATATTTGGGAGAATGTTGTTCACTTTCCAATTAGAGAAGATGCTATTAACGTATATGGTGAGCTAGATGACTTTGACAGGTTCCTAGCTTATCGCTCTTTTCTGCGGAATCCCTCAATGGAGATTGGACGTATCCTTCATGATGGACCTTTAAAGAAGGAAGAACGCATGCTTCTACATTTACTTGTATGGATCTTATGTCCCCGGGCTACGAATCATGCCCAATGCTCTTCCATTGATCTTCGAATTATTCATGCCATAATGAATAATGAACCTTTAGATTGGGGTGTTCTTGTCACAATGACCATGATTAAAGCAAAACGTCATCTCACCTTCAAAATTCCATATGCCCTCCTTGTCTCCCGTATTCTTGAATATAAAGGAGTGAATGTTGAAGGTGAACAAGCAATTAGAACAAACAACTTACACCGCATGCTGGACAGCACATTGATTCAACTCCAAATGGTGCGAGTCAATGATATTTATGTTCACAAAGATGACGTTCCAAATCAAGGGGATGCTAATGACGATTCTGATGAAGATATGCCTCCAGCTGCTGAGTTTCCCTCGGACCAAATCCAAGGTGTTGGAACTTCCTCTACTCATCAAGAACCTCGACAATCCATGGAAGACATGTTATTTGACATGAATCAGAGGATGCAATCATTCTTCACTCTTTCTGGAGTACGGCATGAGGAATTAATTCGCCAGTATATCTGATGTAGATGATAAAGTGTGTCGTTTAGAAAATAGATTTAATGCACACTTTAATGATGATGATAGTGAAGAATTTTAAATTTGTTGTTTGTTTTCTTTTCTTGTGATGTACTTGTATTGACATTTCTGAAATAAAATATGATGTTTTGTTATTGCTTTGATTGAGGGGGAGTTATCTTTAACTTATGCATATTTTGAGGGGGAGCTCTTATGATTGTTATTGCAGAGCGCTTTTTGATTATTATCAAAATAGGGGGAGAAAAATTTAAAGCCTCTTATGAATTGCATTTAAATATTATCTGGTATGTTTAATATGTTTGTTAGTATGACAGATAAAATAGGTTATTACAAGGGCTTTAAAAGATAATTTTGATCATCATCAAAAAGGGGAAGATTGTTGAACATTCAAGGACTTGATGTTGCACTTGATGAACATGAAGATTGTTGATTTTGATGATGATTCAAGAACTCAAAGACTTAGAGTGCTGAAGACTTGTTTTGTATTGTAATAACTCTATTTTAATTAGATTGAGTCTGTAATATTAGAGTTTAAGATAGCTGGTACATAGTCTGCACCTTAGAAGCTTCAAAAAGCCCAAATATATCATCCAGGCTCAGCTTTAATCGATTATATAGGGAAATAATCGATTAAAACAGTGAGAAAACCATTTTCTGTATAAACTCACTACTTTAATCGATTAAACTTCAAAATAATCGATTATTACGTCTGATAATCGATTAAAACGCCTAATAATCGATTAAAACAGAGAGGTTTTGGGTTCTGTTGTTTTTGGCTTTGTTTTAATCGATTATAACTCCATTTAATCGATTATTTCAGTCTGTTTTTGATTTTAAACTTCAAATTAACCCTATTTTTGAAAACCCAATTACCAAGAACCCTAGTTTCGAAATCCCCAATTCCTAAACCCTAATTTCTCTACTTAAACTCTTCTTTGGCACTCAGAAAAGCAGAACAACCTTTTCCATACAAAAGTTAAGTGTTGTGAGTGTCAGAGAACTGTTTGTTGCAAGGAAAGGGGGCTTTTGGAACCTGGTGTGGGCTAGAAGCGATAAGAATCACTAAGTGGAGTTCTTAGTGGATTGTGTGTTGTGCCGTCTCTAGGGAAAGTTGTTCATCATCTCTTGTGGATTTCAAGAGAGGTGTTTTCTTATCTTTATCTTTTCAATTGTAATTTGTTGTAACAACTTGTTTATAGTGACAGCGTTAATCCTCTGTTGAGTGATTAGCAACTGGACGTAGGGTCTTTTGATCCGAACCAGTATAAATCTCCTGTGTAAGATTTCTATCCCTTCTCTATTTACATTTACACAGTTTTTAATCGGTAAAATTTGGGGAAAATTTTGAAAACCTAATTTTTATTAAGAAACCAGTTCACCCCCCTCTTGGTTTTTGTCCGACCACGCGAACATTCCGCTGCGCGATTCTAACAGGATCAAACTTTGTCCTTCCTCTACCGAGGGTGGAAACATAGCATAAAGATCCAAAGATTTTAAGATCTTGTAAATCAGGACGTTTTTTGTAAACTAATTCATAAGGAATTTTGTTATTAATAACAATAAAGGAAATTTTATTAATCAAATGAATGACATGAGAGACAATGTAAGACCAGTAAATAATAGGCAAATTAAACTGAAACAAAAGACTTTAAGCAACGTTAGCAATGTGTGTTGATGTTTGCATTCGACCATAACATTTTGTTGAGGCGTCTCAATACAACTAGTTTGGTGTATTAAGCTTATTATAACCATCAATGCAAACAAATTCCAAGCCATTATCAAACCTAACAATTTTAACTTTTATACTAAATTGATTATGCACCATGGTGATAAAATTTAGCAAAGCAATTATGGCTTCATTCTTGGTTCTCATGAAAAATATCCATGTATGTCTACTAAAATCATTCACAAATGTGAGAAAGAACTTATGACCATGTAAAGAAGGTAACAAACTTAGATTCACTTTGATTGAAAGGTAATTTGTGCAATTTAGCAAGATGACAAAGATCACAAATGTTATTTTTATCAAAATGTATATAAAAAAACTTATCACAAATGTGTTTCAAAATATTATTAAAAGAATGCCCAAGTCTATAATGTCAAAGATCAAGGTTCTTGTCAATAGTATGTTGTTGTTGATTATAATCTTCACACAATTGATAACAGGTTCGTGTGCAAGTTGTTTTTAGTAATAAAACCCATTACAGAGCTCAAAATGTTCAATCACTCTCTGAGATTGTGAATCTTGAATCTTGAACATCTTGGAATAGAAAATCAGTTTACAATTCAAAAGCTCAATCATTCTTTGAACATATATGATGTTAAAAATAAATTCATGAATATATAGAACAATACAAATGTAGAGAGAATCATAAAATTTTATGGTTCCAAAAAACTATGTTATGATAAAAAATCTATTTGGCAATTTAACACGAATGGATTTTATTTCTTCGAACTAACAAATTGAGATAAAATACAAGCAACATGATCAGTAACACATGTGTCGATAATTCATAAGTTCTTGGTTTAGTTACCTTTTTAGCAATGTAACAAGAAGACTCACCAATGTAACTACTTGCTTTATGTGTAATGTCTATTCTGGAATCTTGTAAAAACTTGATAATTTGTTGGATCTGTTCTTAATTAAATTGAACATTTTCTTGATTCATCACCTAAATTTTTAAAGTTGTTGTTCTTTATGTCCTTATTGCTAGAATTATCCTCGGCAACCATGTTATTAGTTGTGTGTTGATTTTTCTATTTGTTCTTGGGAGGATACCCATGCTTAAAATAACACTCTTTTGTTGTATGATTCATTTTCGACAAAAGCTACATTAATTTTCATGATTTGGGCTCCTCCACCTTCCTCTTCTTTGAGATTTTTAGTTCCTATTATTGTATTTCTTGGTTGCTTCCAATTATTTTGATTTCAATTGTTTTGATTGTTGGAGATATTCGAAAGAGCTTGGCTTTTAACATGTAAACCTCAAGTTAATTGTCTTTCCTGATTGTTGTTGAATGAGAGAGAAGACCCAATTCATGTTTGGCAGATGTTCCATCAATAATATTTGAGTTTTCACCATGGCATAAATATCATTGAAGCCTTTCAAAAAACATAATTTTCCCAGATTCTTTATGTCTTATAATAATGCTAATGAGATCACAACTACATCTAATATTATATAGACAGTTAGATGTAGGATGTAACGATTCAAGCTCTTCCCATAAGATTTAGATATGTAAAAAAACTTTGAAATATTCCTTTCACCCTATTTAATCAAATGGATTTCTTGAAGCATGTCTAATATGTTGAAGTGATCTCCTTTGAAAAAAATTTCTTTCAAACTTCCCACAAATTCTAGCATGGTCAGTGTATGTCATACTTTGAGCCATCAAGGCTCGTGTAATCCAATAAATTACCATAACATTGCACATCTCTCATGCATCATAGATCGCATAACCTTGGTTAGGTGCACTGATATTGCCCTCAACAAATTTCATCTTATTTTTGGATAAAAGAGTTCTTTTCATGACTGTGGTACAAAAATGATAATTTGATCAATTTAATTTGGTGTTAATGAGAACCGTCCGAAGGTTCTCTCTCGGACGAAAGTAATAAAGACTAGATGGATTTTGTTAAGGATGTATAATGCTTTCAGCTTTACTGATGTTTGAATTCATGTGCCTCGAAAGAAAAGGGAAACCAAGATAACAATTTATAAATATAAAAAAAAAATGAAAGTATGCGGATGAAGATGATGCGGAAGCAAAACAAGATCAACCCGCTCTAATACGATAATGAATTTCTTCAATGGTAACATATTGGTTGGAGAGAGACTCATACGTAGAAGACTATGAATAATGTTGAGTGGGAAAAAAATATGAATGCTTAATATGTGAAGTTGCATGTATTATTATTATATTTTTTAAAAATACAAGAATACCCTTATATAATAGAAGAAACTATGGATAAAAAAGGATAAAAGACATAAAACAACAAAAATAAAAAACAAAAAACAAAAAACAAAAATAAAAAGAAAACGTAAACTTAAAATGGAAGAAAAAACTTGAAAAAACCAATAAAACCAACAAATTACCCAATCTGTTACTCCGGCATTCCCATAAAACTATAATAAGTTTTTTTTTTTTTTTAAACCTTGTTGAGTCAAACACATAAAAACTGAGTTTTCGCTACACACTGAGAGCACATATCATCACTTCTCAGTACCTGAAACCAAAAGCAAAGCAATGCGTGAGAGCCCCACGAGATAAGCCATTTTCCAGTTATTTTCACCAATGCTTACTTTATGTGAATATGTAAAGTAATCACCAATTGTTCCAAATATATATATATATATATATATATATATATATATATATATATATATATATATATATATATATATATATTCCTGTCTTAAATCTGTGTATTCTACTACAAAATCAAATAAAGTTTTTAAAATTTAATATTATTAATGTAACGTATATTCAGGATAAATATAAAAATAAAAATAAATTGATTATTTAATAATAAATAAGAAAATCATATAAATTATTATCTAAAATAATTTAATAATAATTCTATAAATAAGTCAATTTATAAATATTTATTCTCACTATTTCATATTTAACTTGGTATATTTTCTTATAATTCAATAGATTAACGAAAGTTTTTTATAAGTAGATCACATTTTTTTTATTATATCTCATTATGTAAAAGTTTATTCTTCAGCGTTACGGTAAAAATTCATTAAAACTTTCATTACATAAATTTGTTCTGTCAAAGGACATTGATAAGAAATTTATATATATATATATATATATATATATATATATATATATATATATATTAAAGTTAAATACATTATTTCTTAAAAAAACTATAACAGATTTTTTTTTTTGCAATAGTATGATTATTATGATTTTGTCAAAATGATGACACTTACACCTGAGACTTTAAATATTTTAATAAATATTTTATTTGAACTTCTAATTTAATTATTTTATTAACATCAACCGTCTAAAGCCTTTCCACAATTAATAATTGGAAATAAACAGTAACGACGTCCATTGACAATGAAGAAGTTTAGTTTTCACCATCGAAAATTAAACCAATGGTTCAATGAAAAGTACCTTTTTTCAACATCATTTCATTCAAAAGCACTTCATTAGGTCGGAATATATATATATATATATATATATATATATATATATATATATATATATATATATATATATATATATATATATATATAATCAATACTTCATAGTCTAAAGGAATTTTTCATTCAAATACTTCATATTATGAAATAAATAAGTTAACTTTTTAGTATAGAATTTATGATTAAACTGAAATATTTATACAAATGATCCTTGTGAGAGAAGAACTTTTAAAATAAAGTATTATATTTTAGTTATTTTTTTATAGTAATGTAACTCATATTATTCTTCAACAAAAATTCTACAAAATTCAGTTACTTTTTAAATCAGACATACTTGTCGCTGACTAGATTATAGTTAGTCATATCTTAACTAACATTGTTATAAAGAAAACTCCTATTATATATATAAGAATATTGTCGCGTCTTGAAGTAAAATATGTTTACGAGAATAATTCCTGGGTCAATCACAACATAAGAAATATGATTATATAGATGTTTAGTTCATAATATTTCTATAGCAAACAGATAGTACCCGAAAATTCATTCATAATTCTGAGAGGTCTAAAAGCATTGACAGAAGAGTTACACTGCAAAGACAAATTCAAGAAAAGTTTCTTACTAATTGAATTTCCACAAAGTTGTCTTAACACCACACAGGAGTAACAAAAGCATTTTCCGCATAAATATTTGCTAGCAAATGGCTGAGACCATCTGTGAGAGCTGCTTTTGAGGTCAAAGATGCTTTCAATATGCTATAAGCCTGTAGTTTTGTCCCATGAAAACATTGTAAAATAATGAATAACAATAACATAGATGAACAGAGAAGCAAGAGAAAGTAAATTAGCTATAGCTTTAAACCCTACCTCTTGAATGCCAATGGCAACCTCTTTTTCTTCCACGTCCCTTAATGGTATTTTTAAACGATTGACTAACATTTGACCTGACGTCAGAGACGCTCGTGTCACAACCAAGTCATCAGTAACCATGAACAATGCTGGTAAGCTTGCATGAACCTTAAAAAGTCTTCCAGATGATGACTTTGGGTCTACTAACTTCATCTTCTGATAATTTTCCTTATTATCATAATCCTCATATTCTTGATCTTCATTCAAACGGAATTGCAAAGGCGAAGTCCTTCCTGTAAGAGCAATACTCTGATATTCACAATAATAATGTGAAGCCTGTTCACAGATTGGTAATAGCTGCTTGCATATGCTTGATAGGAACTGTGGGGCAACGTTAGGATCAACAAGCATGTATTTCTCTTCCTTTGATATAAAATATTTTTCTTCATCTAGGTCATATATGCTATTGAACAAATTATCAACATTGCCCACAGAAGAAATTGCACTCAACATTCGCACTACTCCTCCCAAAGGTAAAGTAAGAAAACTCAACAGGAATTCGGCAAAATCTTCTGCCCCTTCAGCATACAATATCTTCCTATTTGATTTTCTCGCAACTATCTTCACTTTGATTCGAAAATTATTAGACCATCCAGCGGGAGGAGCAATAAAATTTGAGCTTATCAGCAATGGTTTATTTACGAAGAAGAAATCTGTCAGAGTTGTCTTGGACAATAAAGAGCACTTGAGTAGATCCAGTACCTGTAGAAAGAATAGTCAATAACATAATATAAGAGGAAATGATTAGCAAATGAATTAAAAAGAAAATTTTGCAGTTACGTGTATAGGAAAGTACTACTAATAAACAACCAATAAACAAGTGATGCGAAGAAAATGAAAAATAACCTGTGTCTTGGTTACATTCACAGGCACCATTTCAAATAAAATCGATTTATTTTCACTGCTCCCTGATAATTTCTGTAAGAATCTCTCGAAGAAAGCCCCTAAGGATTTAAGGTCTTCATGGATTGTGCTTGGAATGATATCCAGATTATCTGCCATTATAAAAGTAGTAGCAGCACGTAAAAATCCTGCGTATACTTGATTATTTTTTATTGAAACCGAATGGTCCATAATATTCCCACATTGGCATGGTTGATTTTTGAAGGTACTCAACATGTTCATGGCACAAGCATGGGACTCCGGACATATAAAATAGGTTGTGGGGTCAGAGTCATAAATGTTAATCTTCAGACTCCTGCACTGATGTTCTGATGAATTTCTTGGCCTCAGTAGCATTTCTTTGCATGTCTCTGTCCACAGATAATCTGTCTCAAAACTGACGACACTTTCATAGAGTGAATTTAGAGAACCAACTTGAAGTGGACCCTGAGGTGACTCCTGCTGCACAAGCCTGGCGATGGTTCCCAAAGGCAAAGTTAAGAAGCTACAAAGAATATCCATGAAGTCCTCATTTGCCCCTGCCAATACGACTTTCTCGGCCTTTTTGTTCACAATAAGTAGCAATGGAACTTCCTCTGACATAGTAGCAACTAGCAAAACAAGAAGCGTAGTGGAAAAAATTCAAGAGCAAGAAAAAAAAAGAAGATTAGAAGGTTCGTATCTGTATCACAAGAGATCAGTAACATGACCTACACGTAGAAGAACTGTTATTGTGCAAGAAACAGGTGCTTAATATTACATAATATGTCTACGTCAGAAAACTAAAGGAGAAATACCGGACATGATCAAGAAACCAAACCCCGCAAACCAAGAACTGTCCTTCGTTTCTTGGTACAGGAGAATGCAATTCTGTTCCCGCAATGGCTGAGAAAATATCAAAAACGTTGTTCGTTGCCGTATATCTTCTGCAACTTCGTTGGGGAGGGAAAGCCGGAATTTGAGGACGTACGGCACAAGAATTTGTTAAATGAAATGGTCTCGGATTCATTTCAAAGTTAAATTTCGTTTTAAAGTAAGTTTTTTTTTTTTTAAATAGTTAGAATAAGATGGTTGCAGCTATTATTATTATTATTATTATCATTACTATTGATATTTTACCTTTTCTTAAGCTAAAAGTGAAACTATTTTTTTTACAGTAGTCAGGATGAGTGTAATTCTATAAACAAACCTCCCTTCGTCATTAAATATATCTCCCTTTTTTTTGTACCCTTCTCAAATATATTTTGAATTTGACTACTTAAAGTGCGGAGTATGAACTTATAATTGTTGATTTTGAATCAACATTTAACATTGTAAGGATGCATGAAGAAAAACATAAAATATAGATTTAGTATGTTTCATTGCTTATTTTATTTTAATAGGTTTTTTAAATGAATTTTATAAAATTTACCATTTTTATTTTCTCTTTCCATTTATTTTGTTTTAACTATTTTTTAAAATTATTTGATAAAATAATTATAAAAAAATAATCAACTTATAATTTTTTTAATAAAAAAATATTTCAACCAACTGATATAATAATACCTCTAAAGAGAGGAGCTAACAAAATTTTTTTGGAAGAGCAAGCCCTTGCCTTCTTCCAACTCTTCCATGTTTTTCTCGCGGTGTTTCTCAATCATGTTGAAACAAATTGTTGTGTGATGTAAGATCTTGTAAAAGTGTATATAATATGTTCATTACTCAATTCATTATTGTCTATTAAAAATAATTTTTTTCATTTATTATTATATTAATAATTTGATTGATAACATTATTAATTAAAAGCATAGACTTGTTATTAATTGTGATAAATATTATAATAATAAGTCTTTCATCCTTTTAATTTAAATGTTCTATATTAAGATTATTGTAAATAAGAAACTTTTGAGATAAGGCAGGTATATAATTTTTCTTTATTTGATGAAAATAAATAAATTTCATTAATTATTTCATAACTCTATCAACATAGTATTCGATAATTATTTTAAGACTAAATACTTTAACCTGTTATAGGTTAAATAAAAAAATTTGACTGTTACATATCTTCATAATTTAGTAAAAACAAATTCGTAACTATTACTAATAGAAAAAATTAGCTTTAAAATCAATTTACGAACAATACTCGATTTACACTGCCATTTCTTTTGCTTCTGTTTGTTCCTCTAGACGGAAAGCCGTTTAAAAATGAAATGACGATAAAGTTGGAAAAATAATGTGCAATTCTTCATTTTTTTTTTTAAATTCATCTCTTCTTTTATGAAGAGAAAGGTACGGAAATACAGTGTAATAAATAATTTAAAATTTAAATAATAGATATCTAATATTTTTTTAATATATATATAATTATAATAAATAATTAAAAATTAATAAAATAATAAAAAATAAATTTATTGATTATTTATTTTTTAATTTATTAAATTAACCACCTCAAGTATACACTTTTATTAATTGTCTTCTCATTTTCTTTCATTTCTTATCATCTTTTTCTTAATCTAAATATCTATATTTTTATTTTTATTTTTATTTTACTCTCAAATTCACTAATTTCCACTTCATCAAATCCATCTCGATGTCCACAAATAGAAGCTTAGTTAACTCACATCTCTTACTCAACAATTATGTAAGACCTTGTACCCACAGCATTTACAATGAGAACCTTTGCATTTTCGAGTAGTTGAGTTGATCATGAAATTAATTGCATGTATCTTGAAAAATTAGAGAATTTTAAATTACACTTTGAAAATTTGACTTTTTTTACTATCTTCTTTTTTTCAATTCTGGTCTTTTATCTTGGGATGAACACAACCCTTAATGAAGCAACTAACCTTATCAATAGATTGGGAAAAAGTTGTTATGAAGTGCAACATGACATAACCTCATGGACATATGAGGAAGGAGTTCTAGAGCTAAATTCACATGATGTATAATTAAATCAACAAAAGTGTCTGACTCAAATGAGATTTGAAGATACAAATACCTCAATTTCCTCGTTAACTCCAATTACTATAAACCTATCGATAACATTCGTAGGTAAATTATCTAGGAAGTTATGGATTTTTATTCGTCAAAAATCTATAAAAAATATCTTTATATTTATAAATATGTTAATAAGTAGATATTTTAATAAGAGTTACAATATGGGATTTTAATAAGTAGATATTTCCACCGTGTTTGAAAAAATATGAGTCACTTTAGGAGTGAGAAAGGTGTACCATGTTAGACTTTTATAAAGAGTTAAAAGAAGGACAAAAAAAAAAAAAAATCCATTTAAAATGCAAAACAAAATTATCTTGAGGCCAATCAGGCCTTGCTTGTAACTTGAGGGACCTGTTAGGTAATTATGCTTTACTTGAAGTGGAAATTGACTTCAAACTCTTCATTTTCATTTTATTTGCATATTTCTTCTGGAAGAACAAAATTTCATCATTTTACAAAATGACTTCAATGCAAGAAAATAAGACATCATCTTAAAGAATCATATATTGCCTTCTGAATTCCTTAATTATATTTAATTACCGGCAAAGAAAATTAAATGCTCAACATAAAGCAACACAATTAATTATATCTAATTTATATTTAGCATATAAAATGTGTTCAAAATTAGGACATTTCATAATCACAAAATAAAAAATAAATTTTCTTCGATCAGGTTCTTGGTATTTGCTTCAACTCGGATTTTTATATAAATAATTCTATATATAGGACAAATAAGTACGTAAGAGGGTCTTCTTGTTTCAATCATGGTTCAAGGAGACTCGTACCAAGGTCATGAAAGTCAATTTTTGAAAAGAAAAAATTATAGTGGTTTCTTTCCTAGTTTCTCCAAATCAATCTTGAATGTGATTAAGGTTAGAGAGTTAGTTTATTATTTTTATAGAAATCAAATATATGTATATCTTTTTACTGTTAGTATAGAAATATAGATTATATCACAATTTACTTTCAATATTAAAATAATTATTTTTCTTTTTAAGATTTGATCTTACAAAAAAAATGACATTTAAATGCTATATTATATTTTTAATTAACTATAAGCAAAAAAAAAAATTGGATAAGTAATTTTTTATTTTTAAATGGACATTCAAATATCAGTTTCTATTTTTAATATTTTTTCCATTTGAATTTATGTTAAAGGCTATAATAATAATATTTACAATATCAAACGGCATTTTTTTTTATCATAAATCAGTTATTTATTATAAAATAATTTGTCTCGGGTAACCATTATAAAAGAATGTTTAAAAATATAGATGGATGGTAATACTACATTTATTCTTCTTCTTCCGATATGCAACCAAATTTATTTATTTATTTATTTATTTATAATGACGGAAACAAATATCCTACATCATTCACAAAATCAGAAACAAATGAATGGAAACAAATATGTTCTATCATAAATGGTTATATATTGCTAAGATCATTGTACTTAAGATATCCTTCGTTTTAAAACTTAGATTTAATTTTATAATATATATATATATATATATATATATATATCTATTAAAAAGGCATATAAATATATTAAGAGAAATAATAAAAATAAGAATATGTATAAATTATCATAATATATATAAAACTAAATTCAAACTTCAAAACAAATAATACATAAAATACAATACCTGTAAATAAATTTACACTAATTATAATAAAATGCTTCCTTATACAAACATAAGATTCTGCACCTTAAGCTAATAAAAATCATTGAATCAACATAAAACTTGAAATATAGCCTATTGCTCTCAAGATTAACAAGCACTTCCTCCGCCACCTCCACTCGCAGCAGAGCCAGCCATAATCGCAGCTATCGCTGCTCCACCATGAACATGACGGTTGTTGTGGTGGCCAAAGCCTCCACCACCACCACTTCGTCTTCCTGTACCCAGTCGGCACAACGTCGTCAATATTACAAATAAGATGAATACGCAAACAACTACAATGATAATTATTACGACTGTTTCCATCTCAAAAATGGAATCTCAAAGTGCTTATTCAATTTAATCCTCAATCTTTGTTGCTTTTCGTAGTACTCCCACTGCACCATATATATATATATATATATATATATATATATATATAGAGAGAGAGAGAGAGAGAGAGAGAGAGAGAGAGAGGTGACTTCGTATTATTATGTTTACTTGTCTTTACGAGAAGCTGCTTCCCATGCTTCGTTGCTTTATTATTCCGCAAGATACGTAACTTGTTACGCGCATTTTACACCCTATTTTACCAATATGCTTATCAACACTCACCAATACAATTTTTTTTTTTAACACTAATTTTTTTCATAAAATATATTTTTCGTGAATTTTTATGTGAATTTTTATTTGAATTTTATAAAATTTTACTGAGTTATAATAATATGGTAACTCAAAATTCTTTAAAATTCATGCAATCCAATTAACGACAGGACTTCTACTTTATTAGCATCATTTGACGTAATAAATCCAACAAACGTGTGTGACGACTCCAATGTACCATTTTAAAAGTATAATTCATGTCGCTTTCAAACTTCTACGGTCCATATTTGATTATTCAAAATTTTATGGGGAAAGAATTAGTCTACAATAATTATTTCGGGGATGAATATGACTACTCGCACCATTTCCGTAACCAAGTTCCTTTTTCATTAACGAAAATTATTTTTTGTTAAGTATGTGTTGAATTAGTTTTTGAAGGTTGAAAACGTTTTCGAAATTATCAGTATTTGCCCCCATTCATAAGTTTTATCTTATGAACCACACAAAAGGGCGAAATTCGTTTAACATTGTTTTATTTTAATAAATAATTTAGACTTATATGTAATTAATAAGAAGTGTAGTATATTTTAGTAAGAAGTTATTTATAATGAGTCAACCTTTATAAATTAATTATAGCTGGTTTTGACACTTTTATATACGAAGTAAAAGTCAGCACCAACTTTGCAAGGAAAAGTGTTGTAAATTTCTAAACAATTATTTTTATTTATTTATTAATTATTGATAAAGTTAAATTTATATTAATTAGTCTTTTTCTCGATTAAATTTTTATATATTTTTTAATTCTAAAATAATTTACATCTTTATTATTGCGTTGGTTTAAAAGTGAAAGAGATAAAATAATAAATTATATAACTATTTTATTAGAATAAAAAAATAATTATACTTATAATCTTAAAATCCAGATAGAAAAACTGTACATGATTTGTATGTTTCCTCCACACAAAGTTATAACATTTTCGTTGAAGTTGCACTCTGAAAGGAGGTGGTAAATAACTTTGTCTTGACGGGTTTAAACTTCAAACCCGACTTGCCTCAAAGTAACTTTTATTTTTAATTTTTTTTATTGGAATTTTTTACACAAAGACTATGAATATAATATTTTTCTTAACCTTGATAAAAGTATTATGATCTATTTTATATTTTACCCCATTTATTTTCTCTATCACAATAAATACATATTTATTAAAATTATGTGTTTATTAAAATTGAAGTTGTTTTAATAAATAATATTTATTGTTGTTCTTAATAGACAATCCAATTTTTGTTTTAAATGAAGCAGCATTTTTATCTTTGTTTTAAAACAAATTCTACCTATTTAAAAAAAAAGTATTTGTTTCAGAAATACCTATTTTAAATTAAAACAAATCATCAATTTTGAATTAGAAAAAGTATATAAATAAGTTTAAGTTAACACCAAGCTGGAATATATCTCATGATAACTATTTTATAAATCATAATTTGTGATAAACTATAATTAGAAAATATCCTGACATATTCTTATATAGATAAGTAAAATAATGTACTGAAATATTATTTATGTTCACATAAGATAAAGTTTTATTTTTTTATTGTAATTTGAATTTTGTACATAGTTTAGGTGGTTCGTTGTTAGTTGGTGGGTGTTATCTTTGTTAGTAGGTGCGAGTTATCTTTTCTATTTTATAACCAAATTTATATATTTAGTTTCTTTATTTTAGAAAAAAAAAAAAAACAAGAGAACCAAAGTTTCTATCATGCCCAACACGGACAGTAATCTCGTGTACCCTATAATTACAAAGTTGAATGAGCATTATAATCATTGGGCATTGCTAATGAAGAACTTCCTAAAGTCAAAAGAGTACTAGACTTCTATCATGTCCAACACAGTGAGTAATTTCATGTAATATGCAATTCCAAAGTTTAATAAACATTACGAACATTGAGCATTTTTAATGGAGAACTTCCTAAGGTCAAAAAAGTACTAGAATGTTATAGTTCTTGGAATTCCACAACAAGAAGAGAGTATTGATTATAGCGAGATTTTGTAGCAGTAGCTCATTTTGAAACTATTAGAACTGTTGTTGCATTAGCAGTCACAAAAAGGTGGAACATTTGTCAGCTTGATATCAAGTCAGTCTTAATCAATAAAGACGTATACTTAGAACAACCTCTAAGGGACTTGAACATCATATATACAAACTTAGAAAAACCCTATATGGTTTTAAACAGATTCCTAGAGTCGGGTACAACAGGTTGGAGTTTTGCAGCTAATGATTTTTTTAAATGCCCACATGAATACACTCTATGTGTGAAAATGAATGAGAAATGTGCACTCTTAATTGTTTGTGTTTATGGAGATAATTTGATATACACAGTTAATCATGAATCAATATTTCTAGAGTTTAAAAGTATAATGATGAATGAGTTTGTTATGACTGACTTAAGCAAGATGAAATACTTTCTGGGCATTGAAGTTTTGCAGAGCTGTGATAAAAATTTTATTGGATAGAAAAAATATATCAAAGATATGTTGGACAAATTCCATATACTTGACTGTAATTTAGTTAAACATCCTATTGTTCTAGTATTAAGTTGCTAAAAACATATAAAGGGGCAAAAGTTGATAATACTTTATTCAAATGACTTATAGGAAGCCTTATGTATCTGAATGCTACTAGATATTGCACGTTCAATTAGCGTGATTAGTCACTTAATGGAACATCCTAAAGACAGTCACTTCATTGCGGCAAAACCTATTTTGAGATATTTGCAAAAAACTCAAAATTTAGGAATTTTTTATAAAACTGGAGGAAATATAAAATTACTTGCCTAGATAGTGATTATGTAAGGGATCAGAAGATAGAAAAAACAGATCTGGGTATGTTTTTAAATTGGGAAATAGTGTAATATCTTGGTCATAAAAAAACAGTCAGTGGTTAGCTTATCACAATAAAAGCATAGTTCATAGCAGCTGCATTTTGTACTTGTCAATGTGTTTGGTTGTGAAGAATTTTGGAGCATCTAGATCACTGTAGAGAGCTACTGTCATTTTTTGTGATACTATTTCTACAATAAAATTATCTAAAAATCGAGTCTGATATGGAAGGAGTAAACACAGAAAGATTTCTTTTTTGAGAGATTTGTGTAACAATGGTATTATTGAACTGAAATATTATAGTAGCGAAAAACAATTAGTAATCATTAGAAAAATAATTAGCAGACATAATGACAAAGTCACTTAAAGTTGATAGTTTTTAGTATCTATAAGTACTTTGGACATGCTTGAAGAACCAAAAATAAACTATTACAAAGAGAATATACACAATTTGAAGAGGTTTGTTGATAGAGAATAAACTATTTAAAGGAGCATAGTATATATATGTGAGTGTTATGTTTGTTATTAAGTGGATGTTATCTTTGTTATTTTTATTAGTACCTGAGTATTATTTTTGTTAGTAATTGGATGTTAAGTTGTTAGTACGTGCTATCTTTATTAATATTAATATGTTTATTAGTATGTTATGCTATTTTTGTTACTACAAGAAAATTATCTTTCATATTTTCTAATTCAAGTGGTAAAATACTAAATAGAACAAGTTTTATATATTTAGTTTTTTTATTTAAAAAAAATCAAGAGAATCAAGTTATCTAAGATAACCATTTATGTATAATATTTGTTTTTTATTTTTTTAATCTTATTATTAATATTTACTATAATATTATCCCGATGGTAAAATTCCTATTCATTCCCCTGCAGATTTAGTCACTCTGAAGCCAATATATCCTGACAAAACTAATATTCTTTCTCATTCAATAGTTCATGCAAATGGCAGAAAACTACGAAGCCAGTATCCCCACATTAGAATTCGGGACATGATAATATCGAAATCGAATAAAAAAAAAGTTAGCATAAAAATGCCAACAAAGAAAATGAAATAATGCCACAAACAACAAGTATCAAGGGGTAAATCAATGCACAGGATCCAGCCTCAACCGCACCCAGGAATTGAAATCACAGTCAACAGTAACATCATATTGGCAAAATTGCAGGCAGAACGAGGCAGAGAAAATCAAAATCAAGGAGAAAGAAAATAGAAATCAGCCAAAAATCAGAAAGAGGGTCTTTCGTCTCGATACAGCGGCTCGATCCACGACTCCACATTGAGCAATTATCCGCGGGGAAAGAGCACACGACCATCCCTCTCTCTGCCCAGCAGTGGCGCGATCTATAGGTTCGCGTCGAGGTGCTCCAAACCAAGATACCTGCGGTCTTCACCGCACGAACAATACTTGCTAGGGTTCGATTTCCCACCCAACGGACCCGTGGTTCTAGCCACACGATGAGCACATCCCGGCGGCCAAAAAAGGGGGAAAGGCCTTCGATGGTTTCACGGAGGTATGCCTAGGGGTGAGGCGTGTGGTGTGGGTTTGGAGGTCTGGTGAGTGAGAAGGCTGACTGGCGGAGAGGTTGAGGGTGGTGAGTGAGACGCGGGAGGAGGCTGACTCGCGGTGGGGTTTGGAGCGCGTCGAACGGTGGTTTGGGCTGGTGAGTGAGGCGCGGCACAGTCAGGGGAGAGGAGGGTCGCGATGCGGTGGTGGCTGGATGTGTGGGTGGCTGGGGTGAGGGCTCGCCGTAGTGAGGGTGGGGCGATTTGAAGAGGGGAGTGGCTCGGGTGGAGATGGGGTTGAAGCGCGGCGCGGTGGCTCCGATGTTGTGTGGGAGTCGTGGGGCTGAGGGTGGAAATGGTTCCGGTGAGGGAGTGGGGTTGAAGGAGAAAGGGTGTTGAAAAAAATAATGTATAAATGACCACAATATATATAAAATACAAATAATATTTGTAAATAATATATAAGAGGCTTATGCTAACGATACAATATAAATAATACATAAAATACAATACCTCAATATACAAAACATAAGAGTCTACACCTTATGCTAATAAAAATCATTGAATCGACATAACTTGGAATATATCCTATTGCTCTCAAGTTTAACAAGCACTTCCTCCGTCACCTCCTCCACCGCCACATCCTCCCCCACCAACTCCACTCGCAGCAGTGCCAGCAATAATCCCAGCCATCACTGCTCCACCATAAAGATGATGGTTGTTGTGGTGGCCGAAGCCTCCTCCACCACCCCCACTTCGTCTTCCTGTACCTAGTCGGCACAACGTGGTCAATGTTATAAGTAAGATGAATACGCAAACAACTACAATGATAAGTGCTTTTTTAATTTAATCCCCTTTGTTTCTTTTACACAGTAACCCCACTGCAATATATATATATATATATATATATATATATATATAACTTTGAGCCGTTAGGTTTTCTGCCAATTTTATCTATAATTATTTTAAAATTACTAAAGAAATTTTTTCAATTTATTTATCTAAATAAACATATTTATTGTTTATATGTAATTTTTTTCTCCTTATTCACTCTTTTTTTTCTCTCTCTTTTTTCTTCTTTATCTTTTAATTAAAATTATTGCAGTAGAATTTAATAAAAATATTTTAGAGTTAATTTTTAAAATTAGAATTAAAACTAACAAAATATTAATTAATTATCTAAAATTATGATAATAATAAATAATTTTATTTACTATAACACAAAATAATTTTATTTCCTATGATTTAAATAATTAATTTAAATGATTTTATCATAATAAATTAATTATTTATATAGTTAAAAAATAATAAATATTTATGTGTTATATATATATATATATATATATATTTTTTATCTAATAATTCAATCTAATTATAATTAGATTCAGCAGATTAAATAATTTTAATAAAATATCTATTAAAAAATTACTTCAAAATAATTACTTATTTTTTCAATGATTATAATATAACAATAATATTTATAATAATTCAATTAAAGTTTTTATTAATTTATTTAGACCTCTTTATTATTCATATATAGTTTTATTCTCTTCTTATAAATTTTTTATTTTTTCTCTATCCTCATTCACCTTTTATTTCTCGCTTTTGAACCTCAATGTCTTTTTTTCTCTCTCTTCTTTCCCACTTACTCCTTTAATTAAAATTAAAATATTGAAATTTGATAAAATTGTATTAATATAAATATTTTATAATCCATATTGAAACTAAAAAATATCAACTAATTATTTAAAATTATGATAATAGTAAAAAAAATTATTTGCGATTAAATAATTAATTTTAAATTATTTTATCATAATAAATCAATTACTCATCAAATTAAAAAATATTAAAATATTTATGAGTTAAATAAAAATTCTATTTAGTATGTTAATATTATTATAATTAAGTTTAGTTAGGATGATTAGTAATAGTAGGTAACTTTTAAAAAATATTTAATTTTTTTAATAATTATTACATAATAATTTATTTTATCTCACATTTATAATATAATATTTTTATAATTTAATATATTAAATTATAACATTTTTAGATAATTTAAATATTTTTTTTATAAATAATAAAATATCCATTTTATCAATTTTTAATTTTCTATTTTTAATTAAAATAATAAGATGAATGACAAAATAATGAAAGAGGAGAAGAAAAAAACGAAAATAAACCATAGAAGAGAGAAAAAGAATAATAAGAAGTAAATAAGGAGAGAAGTTTAAGAAAGGAGATGAGGAAAGAGAGTAAAATAATTATATTATGTTAGGATAATTTATTTTTTATTATTGAATTTTGTGTATGAATAGTAAATTAGTCTAATTAGGTAAATAAACTTATAAAGATTTTAGTTAACTCTTTTTTTTAATATATTAATAATTTTTCTTTTTAAATATATTATTTATGATATTATTTGGAATTCTTTCTTTTAATATAAATGACTTCCTATGCTTTATTATTCTATTATTATGCAAGATACGTAATTTGTTAAGTGCAGGATTATCAAAAAAATTTTATTAATACTAAATAATACTTTATGTAATGACCCTACAAATCGCTACTATAATGATGTCTTTACACAGTAGTAAACAAGTAAATAACGACATCTATTTTACATTATATTACTGTAATTGTAACATTGATTGAAATTCTGATTCACTAACGAAACATCAAAATATAGTAACATAATTTATTTATATATTATACATGTAAAAGTAGTTCCCTCGAAGTTATCCCACTGAACTATCCCTACTGTCCAGTAGTCACATCTCCATCTCTCAACTCTTGATCTGCTCCCACATAAAAGTGATCATCGCAGTCCCATCCACATGGAAAAATAGGGGTAAGTATTAAATCATTCGATATAATAAAACATATATAGAAGTAATAATTATATATTATGATCAATTACAAAATCATCAACACACTAAGACACCTTCCGGAAGTATACCCTAACTATGCCCGAACTCAGAGGCTATCATCTGTGGGCACATTGTGATCGGTACCCGTAGTACCATTCTGACCACCCTCCACACAGAGTAGGATTACTGGCGCCCTTCATCACTCATACTGGAGTACCCCTCCGAGCGCGCCACCAGTCATCCCCCATCGACTTCTGACCACCTGATCTCGAAGTCTACCTGACCCGACCAATCAGTGAAGTCTCGGAACCTCATTCAGAATCCTCCGACATAGTTATTACACTAATGTACTCTGTACCACCCCGGGTAACATTCAAACATAACAAAAATCATTCACATTTGCCGGATTCTGGACCACCTGTCCTCACGGCTCATTCGGGTCAATAAAAAATAGTTTTTGACTGATTCTAGCACTAACCCTCCGGCTCAGTCTAGCCAATATATAACGTCTCATGACTGATTCTGGGCATCAGCCCTCAGGCTCAGTCTGACCCACACACGTCACAACACACTACTTTCATTTTCTCTCTCTCTCTTTATATATTTTTTTTTCTAAAATCATTTCCGAAATCATTTCCGAAATCATTTCCGAAATCATTTCCGAAATCATTTTCGAAACTATTTTCGAAACTATTTTCGAAATCATTAAATTACTATTTTGCCCTTAATTCTTTCTTAAAATTCCATGTATGTCCCTAAATGACTATTTTGCCCTTGGACATTTTTGAAAATTCCTTCCATGTCCCAAAAATGACTATTTTACCCTTGAACAATTTCGAAAATTCCATTTATGTCCCTAGGATGTAAAATGACTATTTTGCCCTTGAACATTTTTGAAAATTCCATTTATGTCCCTAGGATGTAAAATGACTATTTTGCCCTTGAACATTTTCGAAAATTACATTTATGTCCCTAGGATGTAAAATGACTATTTTACCCTTGATCTTTTTAAAAAATCCCCACTATATCCCTTTCTTCTTCCTTCGTCCAGTAACAATATCGAATTTTGCAGATTTTGGCAGATTTCAAATTACTCAGTTTTAGACAACCAAACTAGTCCAAAATCAAAATTAAACATAAATTATATCTAATTTAAGTTGAAAACAACAATTTTGCCATATAATTCATCCTTAATTTTAAGAATTTCAAAAACTTTCAAACCATGAACAGTGCATCCAAAATAAAAAATTCTTCAAAATCAGACATTCAAATAATTCATATCTCTACTCCTATTCCTTATTCACAGGGTATTCACAGAGTATCCAACAATTCAATTTCATATATTGAATGAATTAAACTTCCCCTTACCTGGTGTGGTATTTCTACCGAAACTTTCCCACTTAATTCAAACTTTCTCCTGTTTCACCAGATCCTGCACTAGTAGAGTCTCGTTGCTTTAGACAAAAGAGGAAGAAGGATGAGAGGGAATTTTTTATTCTGCCTCCTCCCCCGCTTCAGTATGCATATATAAGAAAAAATTTACTGTGCATGAGGAAAACTTCGTTACGAAGTTTTTTTGCACAGTAAAAATCATACGTCACAATCTCCCCTCCACAAAAAAGATTTCGTCCTCGAAAATGAACTTACTTGGAAATAGATATGGATAGGACTCTCGCATCTGATCCTCCATCTCCCAAGTGAAGTCTCCGGATTTATGATCCCATACTACTTTCACCATTGAGATGGTTCTACCTCTAAGTCGCTTCAGCTGAGAATCCTCTATCCTCATTAGTCTCACATCCACGGAGAGATTGTCTCTAATCTGCACATCGTCTGACTCCAGGACATGAATGGGTCATGCACATATTTCCTCAACTGAGATACATGAAATACATTGTGCAGATTTTCCAAATGAGGTGGCAACGCTAACTGATATGCCTCTGGACCTACCTTCTTCAAAATCTTATATGGGCCAATAAACTTGGGAGTCAACTTCTTAGATTTAATTGTCCTTCCTACTCTAGTAGTAGGTCTGATTATCAAAAATACATGGTCTCCCCCCTCAAATTCCAAAGGTCTCCTCCTCTGGTCCGCATATGATTTTTGTTTATTTATAGCGGATCTCAACTTCTCTTGTACCTCCCGGACCTTCTCTGTAGTCTGCTAGAGTAGCTCAGGTCCGATCAACACTTTCTCCTCATCCTGATACCAACATAAAGGTGATTGACACCTCCTCCCATAAAGAGCCTCATATGGTGCCATTCCGATACTGGCATGATAGTTGTTATTATACGTGAACTCTATTAATGGAAGGATATCATCCCAACTTCCTAAATTATCCAACACACAAGACCTCAACAAGTCTTCTAGTGACTGGATAGTCCTCTCTGATTGTCCATCTGTTTGGGGATGATAGGCTGAACTCAACCTAAGTCGGGTACCTAATGCCTCTTGTAAAGTCTGCCAGAATCGTGAATTAAATCTAGGATCCCTATATGAGATAATGCTAGATGGTACCCCATGTAATCGAACAATCTTGCAAATATATAGTTGTGTCAGCTTAGCCATAGATATCCTCAGATTTACAGGGAGGAAATGTGCACTCTTCGTCAATCTGTCCACTATCACCCAGATCGAATCGTGCCCCCGAATTGTCCGTGGTAAATGAGTAGCAAAATCCATGGTAATGATATCTCACTTCCATTCAGGTATCTCCATTTGCTGTAGCATTCCTCCCCGCCTCTGATGTTCCACCTTTGCTTTCTGACAAGTCAAACAAGCAGCCACATACTCTGCAATATCTCTCCTCATACCAGACCACCAATA